TCATGGCCAAGTGTGTTGTGAGTCTGAGTTTCAAGGGAGGCAGACCTGGAGCACTAGCTACACCACACGTAGCGTACTAAATGTGGGTGATCATTTTGTTTGGCTTGAGTTTTTTAAACCAGTGTGAACTGAATGTATATAGTAATTGAGTGAAATTCTGTGAATAAAGTTCTTAGACTGATGTCCAACATATAACAGGAGACTGATAAATGTTCTTCCAATTCAAATATAAAGAGTATGTTTTGTCCAATTTGCAGAACAGTTTTCAGCAAATTAATTTACAGAGAAGATATTCTCTATAGGATTCAGCTGTATTTCTGGCTGCTCAAATGAAAGGTTAATTTTAACATCCACTTGTACAAAAAGAAATGGAATCTGGAGATATTTCTTTCTCCTTGGAAGTTTTCCATCAGTTGGCAAAATATTAAATCACAAGACATTTTGTAAAAATTGTCTTGTTCTATGTGCTATAAGTCTTTATCTTTATCTTTGTTAATATCTCTAAAATTAGTCTTAATTACTCCCAAAATTTTTAGCCAATAAAATGAGGCTTCTCACTATATTGGTCAGAAAAAACTTTAAATTCATACAGAAAATACTCAAGTTACAAAATCAATTAAATATAGTTGGAAACTAGTCATAAATCTGAAATACAGCTGGGGGATACAGCTCAGCGGCATAGAGCTTGCCTGGGAAGTGTGACGTCCTGAGTGAGATTCCCAGTACCAAAAAAAAAAAAAAAAAATCTAAAATACATATTTAAATATAAAATAGCTATAATGGTTTGGTGAAAGAAAAAAACAAAAACTAGAGCGCATGAACTTTCATATGCAGATTTGTAATATCATACCTTCAAGAAAAAAATGCCACTGATATTTGGTAAATTTATATGTAATTCAAATCATTGCATGTTAAAATACAAAGTTAGGGAATTTAACTCAGAATGTATTGTATAAATAGGTAAAAGAACATACACAAATGAATCAGATTTATTTTTTAATAAATAAAATCTATGGAAGCTATTCTCTTCATTATTCAAATAAGATAGAATAGATGCCACTGTATAGATGACAAAACAAATTTCCCACAAAAAACATTCTTAATATTTAAAAGTCACGTTTAAAAAGACAGTGGGGAATATAAAAATCCAGAGTGTAAGGAATAACCATATAAATCAAGTACACTAAGCCTTAGCTAACTACTGTAATGTGAAAGTTATGGAAGATAAATTTTATTTTTTACTCAAAAGTATGACACTTCAAAGAATATTTCTAAGGAAAAGCAACAAGAGGCAATGAAGAGTGTGCTATTGTACATAAATATTTTCCAGTTCATCAGCTGATTTTCAGTTTCTTTTTTACAATGAAAATAAAGCATTTCTGAAGAAACATGTGTTCCTATGATGAAAATTGGATTTAATATATTGACAGGCTAGAACGATAACAGCACAATGGAAAATTTAGTCTTCTTTTTATAACATGCTTTTAAACTGCAAATAATGTGCATAGCTAGAGAAATATAGACTATTTGAATTAAAAGCAAGATGCAGATAAAATAAGCACATTATTACCCCATTATCTTTATTACATACTCAGAAATATTCACAATATATACTTACGTATTCTGTAAAAAAAAAAACAACAAAAAAAAAACAACAACAGGAACTTTGCTGAAATAGGCAGAGAGCCTCAAAAACTTTTGTCTTTTCTTCTCAAATGAGAAACTCAACTCTTTTCTCAAAAATGTATCCATGAATTGGTACAATAACTTCAAATTAGTATGAAAAAAATATTGGCAAAGCATTTGCACATCAGTTGCAAATCACATTAGAAAGCCTTTCAACATTTATAATAAATCTTTAGATTAAAAATACATACTCTGTTATAATGCAGATACATGCGTGTTTTTAAACAAGATGAGGCTTTGTGTTATAGTTTGATGCTGTGTCTGCAACAACTCTGGAACCAAACTTTTAACATCGAGAATAAAAGAAATTCCAAAATACAGCATAGCCATGGCGTAGATACTAATTTGGGGATGGTCCAAATATGCTCTGGATACATCCTCTCCCTAAGGTGCTCAATTTGTTTTAAGACAAGTATGAAAAATGCATTTCTGGTATAGAGTTAGTAATGCTTCAACTTCAAATAAATGAAATTCTAAAATAAAGTGTGGTTTCAGTGAGCATTTTCTAAAGCAAAACAGAATTTAGAGATGTACATTAATGGTAAGACTACCTGAGGAGCATTACTAAAAATTAAAAATAAATTTTTAATTCAAATTGTGGAAATATCTCTACTTTGCTTCTAAAGGCAGGATGTTATGAATACATTGAAGTGCAGTTTAAATATTGCCTGTTCCAAAAACCTTATGGTAGTTCAGACGTAAAGGTGAGATTTTGTATAAAAATAGAGATTAACTAGAACTTCAGAACTTGATATGGGATCTACAGTAGGAGCTCAGAGATCAACCTGGTAGATTATTAGTATATGTAGAAGCAGATTTTCATTAAAACAAATGACAGTGTATTATTATGGACAAAAACAAACCCCTACCTTTTGACATTTATTCGTATGAAAGTTAGACAAATAGGATACATCCTAGAATCAGCTAAGTGAAGAGTGGATTGAATAGAACTGCCGAGCAGAAGGGTGTGAGTTACTTGGTCATATGATAAAGGATGGGAAAGAGGAGTTCTTTACAAGGAATCTTCATCCATAGAGGGATCACCCAGATGACCTGGTCTCCTCCTGTATCCTGACATCCACCAGGAAAACATATGAGAAAATGAAGTAAATGTAAACATTTAAAAGGGTTGACGAATGTTGGAAGCCTTGGCGATGAACAGTTAAATATCCTACATCTTAGTATGTGGAGAAAGGACAAAGGCCAGGTTTGCTTCAGACTCTGTCCCTTCACAGTGGTGACTTTTTTGCAGGGTACTTAATCCCTCGAACCTCTTTGCACACCTATAAAGTAAGGACAATAACGGCAACCTTGCAATCTATTGGGATGAAAGGTCACAGTAGGCACACCATCAGTGCTACCCTGTCTCCCTATTGCTGTTTCCAAATCATTCAGTATTTACATTTATCTAATAATTCTCCTTACTGATGTTCCATTCTCCCCACAGATGAAAGTTCTGATGGAGACACTTCCCCTAAGCCCACAATTTTTCTTCCTTCAATTGCTGAAATAAATCTCCATAAGGCTGGGACATATCTTTGTCTTCTGGAGAAATTTTTCCCGGATGTTATTACGGTATATTGGAAAGAAAAGGATGGGAATTCAATTCTCAGATCCCAGCAGGGGGACACCATGAAGACGAAAGACACTTACATGAAGCTTAGCTGGCTAACAGTGACTGGGGCTTCAATGGACAAACAACACAAATGTATCGTCAAACATGAGAAAAATCAAGGAAGAGCTGATCAGGAGATTCTCTTTCCTCCAGTAAACGAAGGTACGTGTATGCCAATACAACAGAAAGTTTATCTGAAAAGGAATATGCCACTTTTTCTATCAATAACTACGAAACACAAGTGCAAATCTTTCTTAAATCTAGCCAGGGATGTAGCTCAGTGGCACAGTGCCTGCCTGGCAAGTGTGAGGTCGTGAGTTTGATTCCTGGCACACACACAAAAAATCTTATTACATGTAATGGTAGGTAGCATAAATGTCCCACCATTTTACTCACAGAAAGAAAATGGCAGAGGCTGTGGAGAAAGCAAACTGAAAATTTTACATAAGCTCTCGCAGCTTCAGTTTCAATATCTAGAATATTAAGATCACTGAAGCTTTTAATAACTGTCATGTGGATTATATGATACAACATATATGAAAGGACCTACCAGTGTACGACTTGGTAAACAGAGACATGGAGTTCTTCATTTTGGATGACTAGTTGATTTAGAAATAAGAACACTTTTGTGCCTCGACAAGCACATGCACTCAATCTTGCTGTACATAAAATTTCATCTGTAAACACTGTTTTGTTTTTTTTTTAAACAAAATGGTGTCCATTAGAGTGCAAACCCAGCTCAACAGAATATAGAATAATGACTGCTGCAATTTTATGGTGGTGTTGAAATTTTCTGATTTTATTTTATCATTGTTAAGACAAAATTTCATAAGTTAGGCTTGGGTGAGGCTAATGTGTATGAAACTTTCCTTCCCCATGAGGCATATGCTTCTTGCCCTTAGTACAGGCAGAAGCACAAACATTTACTGTACTACCAGTCTTTGCCAGGTCTGAGTGGGAATGTGAACAGTCTAGGAGGAGTTAGTGTCCCAGGGCAGATCTGCTACAGTGAAGGGAGAATAATCTTACCCTACTCACTCAAGAATAAATTACTGACGTATAGTTAACTTCTAAGATTTTAGCTAATAGGGGTGCTGCTGTAAACACGGATATGCACTATAATATGTCTTTAACTCAGGAAGTTACTTAGAAGGGGAACAGTTAGGTCAAATGGAATGTCTAATTTTAGTTTTTTGAGGAATCTTCATACTGATTTCCATAATGGTTGTACTAGTTTACACTGCCACCGACAATGTGGGATTCCCTTTCCCCACAGCCTCACCAGCATTTCCTATTGTTCGATTTCTTAATGATTGCCATTCTTTTCTGGAATCTTAGTATTTTAATTTGCATTTCTCTAACGACCAGAGATGTTTAACATTTTTTCTTGTATTTACTGGCAAACATGTACTAAAACAAAATTAAAATCAAAAACAAAGATTCAGGCTCATGTCCAAAAAAAATCCCAAAGAAACAGAAAGGAAGCAATATGAAAGTACAAGTTTAACATAAAGAATGTGCTTACTCCTCTTCTCTTGTAATGACTTTTGTTTTATCTTTTTTTTTTTTTTTTTTTTTAGTTTTGAGACAGGGTATCGCTATGCATTTCAGGCAGCCTTGAGCTCACTTTGTAGCCCAGGCTGGCCTCAAACTCAGTGATCCTCCTCCCTCAGCCTCAGTACTGGGATTACAGGCGTGTGCCTCCATGCCCAGCTCATAATGATTTTTCTAGCTACAGAGAAAACTGAAAAGAATACTAAGTTTCATGGTAATAATATTATGTAAGAGACAGGTTCTAGTTTAAAAGCTTTGTCTTGGGCCGGGGATATAGCTCAGTGGCATAAGCGCGTGCCTGGCAAACACAAGGTCCTGAATTGGATTCCCGGTACCCGCCCCAAAAAAAGTTTTGTCTTTTGTGGGCTTCTCTTGACAACAAAGCTAAAGAACGCACTTCCGTTAATGTAACCCCATACAAATTTCTAATGCCGCTTCCTGTATTTGTTCTGCTTTGTTTTTGATAAAAACTAAAAATCACACATGGGATGGCAAATGAATCAAGTGATTTTGAAGGGGGTTAAAATTAATCTGAGAACTTCAACGTCTTCCTGTCTAGCAGTGCAATATGTAGCGTATCTACAGAATTACACAGAGTGAGACCAATTAGTTCTGGAATAGCAGAGATGACATTTTTAATGACTGTTTCTCTGGACTTTTGTTGACAGATTTTATATATGTACGTATATGTGTTGTTGTTACACATCGTTCTGAAAGTTCTCTTGTGAGTGTCTTTGCCAGGTATGATTAAAAGAAACTATGAATGGTACTTTTGAGTGCCATCACAAAAAGGCAAGTTCCTAAAAACATGACGGTGTGTCTTCATCCACCTAATTCACTGGATCTGAAACATGTGACTTCTGGTTTTTCCCCAAGGTCAAAATGACCATGAAAGGGAAACATTTTGAATAGATTCAGGACAGCAAGGCAGTTATGACAGTGCTACAATAGGCATTCATGAAAGAGGGCTTCCAGAACTGCTTCAGAAAGTGGAAAGAATGACGAGGTAAGTGTGTTCAAAGAAAGAGGGAACTGTTTGAGAGGGATTAATAGCAATGCCTTTAATGTAATAATTATTTTAATTTAAACATTCACTGTATCTTTGGATCACTCCTTGTAAAGAACTGAAAGACTTCCAGAACTGGCTCATAATGTAGCAAGAATGATGGGACAAATGGATTCAAAGCAAGATATTTTGAGGGAGATTAATAATGGCAATGTGTCTTTCATTGTAAATTTTTGAAAATTTTCAACATTCCTCATATTTTTCAATCACATCTCATATACTTACATAGTAGTCATATATATATTTTTCAATCACACATACACACTATATATATATATAATTTATTAAATAGTGGCATGAATAATTGACCCTATTTGGTCTGATTTCTTTTAGTCACCATTGTTACTCCTAGAAAGCCTGATGTGAAAGACAAAACTGGTAAGTTCAGTACACTTAGCTTTATTTCTTGCTACACCTTTTTATATCTTCTTGGCCATCTTAACTTTTGAACTTCCCTGAGTTAAAGTAGAAAAAAACAGAATGACTGGATGTTCCACAGCAGTCTGAGGGATATTTTAAATTAATGCATATTTTCCTTGGCATCATATTAACACAGTAAATTGTTAATTCGTACCAGTAATCTTGGTACAAAACTAATGCAAATGAGAGGATACAGTGATATGTTCCACACTATTTCAACCAAGGGACTTCATTCATTCCTGTGTCTATTGTTTCTACTTCCCAGGGGAAAAGAATGACATCAGTTATTCTAGCTTTGTCTTTAACTGTACATAAATACAACTCTCACCTCCAGTTTTATTAAGTGAGCCTAATGCATGACGTGGCTTATCCACTTCCTGAAAAATGGCACTGCACTAAAATACTCAGCTGCTATAATAAAAAGTGGTCACTGGTTGCAAACAATAAAAATACCTGGAGATTTTCAGTCTACAGTGGTGGAGTTATGTTCTCTCTTTTAATCACTCACATTATCCTTTGAACACTGGATTTGAAATTCCATGGGTATGATTTACCTTACCCTTTTTTTCTCCTCAAAAACATGCAGCCATCCAGAACACAACTCTTAAGTGTTGCTACGGAATTAAACAGGATGATCTAAAAGGTGTAACACAGTGCCTGGCCCAGAAATGTGCATTCGACTGGTATTAGTCTATTAATGAGTGTCTTTCCTGTATTTTGTCAGATTTTATACACACACACACACACACACACACACACACAGTGCCAAATAATAGGCAGCAGTAATTGAAAAGTACCTGTCCTCCTATCTTCTAGTTATCAGTACTACTGAACCTGAAGCTTGTGTGAAAGATGAAAATGGTAAGTTTTATTGTCTACTCTCCTTTATGCTATGCTTCAGCTGTTTTTTTCCTCTTAATCATCTTAACTTGAACTGCCATACCTCAGTGAAAAAAATCACAATGGCTAAATGTTTTAAAATATATTGTGAGCCGGGTATGGTGGTGCACACCTGTAATCCCAGCACTTGGGAGGCTGAGGCAGGAGGATCGTTGGGAGTTCGAGACCAGCCTGGGCTATATAGTGAGCTGAAGGCCAGCCTGAACTGCCTAGTGAGACCCTGTCTCAAAAAGACAAAAAAAAAAAAACCATTGAATGACATTTTACATTCATGTATCGTTTCATAGGCATCATATTTACCCTGTAAATTACTAATTTGGGCATGATATGACTTCAAGTACAAGAAACAATGACACACTGAACAATTTCAACAAAACTACTTCAACTGAACTATTTTAACAAAACGACTTCATTCATGTGTCTATTGCTTCTAATGACTGGGAAACGATATCAAGTTAATTCTAGGTTTTTAAAAGTTGCTAGCTGCTAGTAATGTGACTTGGCACTCACAAAGTATTTTTAGACATAAGAACTTGGGCCGTCCTCTCTACAGACTTCCTTGGTTAATGCTCATAATGTTCCTATCTCATCATACCATACTTTCCACCCCATGTTACAGAGGAGGATAATGAGCTAAAACTACATTCCTTCACACGCCACATGGCTAGATTTGAAGTTTCAACTCAGGCCCTCAAGTGAAGAGTTCATATCCTTTCTTACTTCTCCTTTATGCTTCCTCTATGATGGATCAGACAGCAAGAAACTCCAAGGCTGAGCCTCCGAAACAGGATGGACATATGGTAGGGTGTGAAGTGCACAGACTTCTGAGCACCACAGACTGGGTACAGCCCAGGCCTCTTAATAGTGAGCTGCAGGAACATGGGGGAAGGACATCATTTCTTAGAATTACATCAAATGCTCAGCTACTGAAGAAACAAGGGCCTGGATAAGAAACATCTAGCAGAGGATATCCACTAAGCAACCTCAGGATAAATCCAACTTTCTAGCCCTTCCATCTTACATATGCCAAAAGAATGTAACTTGAAGTACTGGCTTGTGCCTGCTAACTTTTCCTCTGATTCTAGTGTCCAAAGAGCTCCAGACCTCAGCTGCCGTACCAGGCAGTGGGGAAGGCAATTTACTGTCACCTGACAAAGGGGAAGGACTTAGAAATACATTTACTGAGAACCCTTTCTATACCAAAGGCTAATGATTGGAGTTCGGACTCTAGGAAGATGCATGATGTAAAGTGAAAATTTCCCCAGGGAGACTTGGCCTTGTTACTCAAGCTGCCACTGCGGCTCCACTGTCACTATCTTTGACTGCAGACATCACATATTTCTTGTAAAACTTTGAAGGTTATCAGCTGCTATTACCCAGTAATATCAAAGCCCCAATGTGAACCTTGCAGAAAAGACAAGGGAATGAGCCACAAACACTGAACATCTTGAAGAGTTTGGATGACCCCCCTTTTTCACATTTTCTATAGTGCCCTCTCCTACAACCTCCCACCCATCCTGCTGGGAACATCACTGAATTCCCATGGACTGCACCTTGCTGCAGATCTCAATGCATGCCCAATGTGTAAAGGTTTACATTTCTAAGTCACCAATTCAACTTTCACTTAGGCTTACTGCTTTTGCCGTTTTGTGTTTCTATGGTGCTTTAGAGTTCTAGAATCACAGAACAGGTAAGAAGGAGATCTTCAGTGTCACATTGCTGGGTTAAATTTTAGGGCTGTGAGTTATTAAGTGCATGATATTAGACAAATTACTCCTTATTGTACCCTCAGTCCCTCTGCAATATAGGAATAAAAACAATTTGTTTCTCCCATGGGTGGTTATATAGATTAAATAAGACAAATATTTACATCAAAGCTCTCAGTATACTATTTCTAAATGCCAAATAGTACAGTACTAGTAATAGTACTAGTACTATTAGTATGAACTAACAGTTCATTAGTGCTTAATGAATGTATCTCGAATTACTGCTTAGAGATACATCAGGGCTGAAAAAAATCCTCCAACCTAGTTTTCACAAATTGACCTCCATTACAACTGAAGCCTTAACATTTTAGTATTAAAAAATTTTCTAAGTGCATTTAGGTTATGTTGTTCCAGCTGAGTTGCAACTGAATCTTACACTTGGTGGTCCTGGGCAAAGTGGTGAGAGCTGACCTTTGGGTTTGGGAGTGAGGGGTGGTGTCACTTCAGTGCAGGTCATCAGAAACCAACACCCATGACACCGACCATGGTATCCTGCACTGTCACATGTGTAGCTGAAACTCATGACCTGACTTTTCTTAGGTTTGCTGAACCTGCAGCTGACCAGCACCTCTGCCTACTACACCTACCTCCTGCTGCTGCTCAAGGGTACCCTCCATGGGGCCCTCATCACCTACTGTCTGTGCGGAAGATACCCTGTCTGCTGCGATGGGAAGAGCACCTGACAGATGGAGCCACGCAGGGCCATGGCGTCTCCACCGTTTCCTGTCACCACACCAAGCTTGATGGGCTCAGCTCCTGAAGGCCATGCATGCACTGTTGTCATTATCGCGTAGTTTTCCAACCAGTGGGAAAACTGTGTAGCTTCCTCTGTCACAAGGCACAGCCCATGGCACCCTGAGCCCCATTCTATGATCCCCACACCCACTCCAGCCAGCCAGGGTCTCACAGCCTTGATGTGCACAGCCTGCTGCTTTCTGGTCAGGACCTCAGTGTCTGTGGACTGGGTCATCCCCCTGGAAGTCTCCACTCTATCCATCCTGACACAGCCTCTGTGCTACTGTACTCTGCTGTATTTACTGTAGACACAATAAATAAGAAGTATCCAAAGTCTTCTTTGGGCAATGTGTAGTTTAATTTGATGAAATGGAATTGACAATTCGATGTAAGAAACAGCAGGACAAATGAGCAAGACCACATTTTATCGCTACAGTGGCTCCAAGGAGCAGCAGCCAGTTGAAGATGCCCATGTTGGTCTTTTAAAGGTCAACACATTTCAGATACAGTTTGTAAGAGACCCTCCATGGCAATAAGAAAATGTCTAATGTTAATGGTATTATGTGTGCTCAGCTGTACAGCAGCATTCCATAGCATCAATCAGTTTCCTGATTCTCACAATGTCCTCTTGAGATCTGCATTAATTCTGTAGGTTCAGTGTGATGGAAGACTTCATCAAATGGACCCTGGACCCAGAGGACGTAGGCTTTGATACTGGGTCTGAAATTTAGTGTCCAGGTGACATCAGATACTTGAAATCTCTGTGCCCTAATTTCTTCCTGTGAGATGAAGTTAGTATGCCCTGACTCCTGGAGTCGGGAAGATCAGATGAGTTCATCATGCTTGGTACAGACATGTCCTTAACAGCATTGGTATGTGTTCCACACAGAGATACAGTGAATACGGACACATACGCAAAAGCACCAAGAATGCTCTCTTTTTACTTCTGTACAGAGGATGGGTGGGATGGAATAGCGACTGAGCTCTGTTGTACAAGGCAACCCATGATCCTGCAAGAGTCCTCTGAGGTGGGTACAGTTATGGTCCACAGTTTACAGATGGGAAAAAGTTACCTACTAAGGTCACTATAAATTTAACTCCAAGTCTCTGTGAACTCAAGCTTTGTGGCCACGTGGGTGTGCACACATAATCTACCTAATAGCGAGTATCTTCCTTTCAGACATTTTTAATTGGGGAAAACAAACAAACAGCATGCATTGCACCCTTGCCTGTGGCATCCTCTAATGACGCAGGGTCTGTACAAATTTGTGAGCGCATCTCCTCAAAGGAACTCTAGGCCACTAGTTTGTCACTAATTTCCCCACTGTCTTTCTCCCTTGATGACTGCTCTCCGTGTTATAAATAGAAGAGAAATTCTGCCTTCCATTGTGAGTGTCCTTGTTGCACAACTGCTCATTTATGGACAGCAGCAATGAACAGTGACCCTCAGGCACAGTGGGGCCTTTCACGATGCTCTCCGGTGCAGACAGTACGCTTGACATCCAGCTCCTCCATGGGACATTGGCTACAATCAGGGGCACTTCAGAAGCAGAACTTGTGTTATGCATCCTTCCTGGTCCAGGACTTCTCCACAGCACAGTAGCCTCATGCAGGGAAGCCACCTGGTGAGGGGGAGGACATGGGGCCAGGAGTCACACTGCATAGCTATACCATCAGTTCTCCCTTTTTAAAATTGACATGTGAAATTTGTTCATATTCTTGGAATCGTGTCTGATACAGTGCATACATAAAATGGGCAGTGTTTAAATCAGTGTGAGCATGTCTGTCTCCTCAAATACTCCATTTCTCTGTGATTTAAAAAGCTGAAGATCCTTTTGCCTATGTTTTTTGAAAGACATACAGATTATCTACATTTTATTCCCACATTGGTTGAGATTATTAATCTTTAAACCAAAGAGCGGAAATTAAAATTTCACATTCCTAAGTAGTTACAAACTCAGTGACTGACACCCTGCTAAAGTACTAACAGCAATCACTTGTGTAGAACTGTTTTGGTTTCTGGATTCACTATGCGTTATCCCATGGAATTCTCATAGGCAGCCTATGAGATATGTACAATTGTTTGTTCTGGTGAACTGAGGCAGAGAGGTCTAAGGAATTTCCTTATGGCTGCATAGCTATTTAGCAACAGTGCTGGGATTTGAACCCAAGAAGCCTGGTTTCAGGAGCTCTGCTCTTGCCTTAAACATTACTTGATCCTGAAGTGGAAACACGTTACTCTTCTGGACATGTTACTCTCCTTCCTTTTAGGCTCAGAGCTGGTAAAGAGAAAGAGAAAGCAAAAGCCCTTCTGAACTGCCTATATTTCTTCTCTTGACTGCTGCATTGTTCTTACAATGCCAAGGTTGTAGGCCAATTTGCCACAGGGAAGACTTCTACATACTGACCTCCCATTCTCCACTGGATCTCTATGACTCAAATCCATAACATGTTCGGATAAAATGAAAACCACAACAGCCAGCTGCAGGCATATGTTCAGTGGGAAAGCACGGCAAAGATTCACACAATTCCACCTGAAGATACGTATCTCTCCAAGGTCTTACAGAGTAGAGTGTCCCACACACACCTCAACTAGAAGCAGATTCATCAAGGACATGCAGTATGTTCACAACCATTAAGAAAAAAAAAATGCAACTTTCCAGGCAATATTTATAAATTACCTCATTATAGATTCTTTGTAGCACAGTTCTTTTCCTTACAGGCTTCATTTGTTAAGTCTTTTTGTCTACTAAACAGGCCATACTGGAAATAGTTGATTTTCCTCATTATAATCAATTACCTAAGGAACTGCCAATTAGCAGCTCAGTAATAACGCATCACAGAGATGTTACAGCATCTTATAATTCAACCAAAAGGCTAGAAACTGAAGATTTTGAAATACCAGGAAAGCTTATATAACAGAATGCGCAGTTCCCATCATGATCTGTTAGGCTACGTCTTTGCTTTGTTTTGTGTGTCTAATAGCCAGTACCTACCACATAGTGAGCATCAGGAATTCCACAAATCAGTCTGTGCTCTAGTATGACACAGTACAGTTCTGTTCATTTTACTAAGATAACTAGGTCTCAGAGGCCCAATGTTAAACATACAAAAATCTCCAGTGTTAAGAATGCCTAGTATTAAACACAGAGTAAGTCCTAATAGTGAATATGACCAATAGTATACAAGTGAGCCACACTATTAAATATGGATAACTGTAAATAAGGAGTAAGTTCCAGAGTCCACGTGATTCCAGGCTGATCTACCTTAACAAGCGCTGCTCAATCCACCCAACCAGGGGCTCATAGTCTCCTTCTGAGAAACCAGACAGTCACACAGGCATGGACGTTATCACAGGCCAGCGCACGACTGAAAAATCTCCTGACCTCCAGCACAGCTGTCTCAGATTGTCAAGTCGCCAGGAGCCATCACACACAGGATACACTGCACAGGCATGAGACACAATTCACATGGTCAGGGCTCTCCGGGTGTAAGCCATCAGCTCCCTCTGGAAACAGAGTGTATGTTCTAAAATGTCCATGTGAAGATGTTCATTCACTGTAGCACCCCATAGGACAGACACAAATTCACTCAAATGTCCAAAGAGAGAATAGTACAATAAAGGATACCACAAAATCAGTATGCATCTCAAAAAAACACTTTAAAATGGAAAATAATCAAGACATGGTATTGTAATACATACAACATGAGCTTGAACTGTTAGATGACACATTCACATGGTTAAAAAAATGAAAATATTTTAAATTCTGTAAATATGGATGTAGATATATATTTATACATCCCCATTTCACTTTCTTGCACAAAGTATGCACCATCCATTATTTTGCATTCCCTCATTTATAAATCCTAGAGCTCTTACTTGTCAGCACATTTAAACAGCCACAAAGTATTACACCGAATAAAAAATATGGTATTTCATCAGTTCCCTGTAACAGATCCTTGACTTATTTCTAGTATCTTCCTACTATATAGAGAAAGAAACACATGTAATCAAGATCCACTCCTTGGTTCTCTTGTTTGGATCAGACCTCCTTAGACCAATCCTTGCCCTCTGTGCAGAGTGGAGCTGCTTCTGCATGGCAAATGCACAGCACCAGACAGGAAATGGTCACATCACCCACAGCTTAGTGGAGCTGAGGTCACAGCGGGCCCCAGGCAGCGTCCCCTGGGGTTCACACCTCTCAGCACCTTCCTTCCCCATCCATCTGGGCTGCCCTGAGCTTCAGCAGCACAGAGCAGAGGCCTGGGTAGGCAGGCACACAATGGGTGACAGCCAGTGCTGGTGTGGCTGGTGGGGCTTCGCTTTCTCAGGCTTGTTGTTTCCGTGCTCTGTCAAATGCGGTTGATTCTTGGAAGAGGCTCAAAGTCAAACCGGCCCCAACTGGTTGGGGCAGCACAAGGAGTGGTGAGGGTGTTGGAAGGGAAACCGAGGGCAGTTAAACCACAGTGAACCTGGCTCACTTTCAAAATGTCACAGCTAATGAATACAAAGAAAATATCTTCACACTGGTGACTGCCATCAACCTTGCTCTCTGCAGTGTGAGTAGCTGGGCACCCTACACGGGACACAGGAAATGCATTAGCTGCTGTAGGCGTTGGGAGCCTGGTTGCCAGGACTACGTAGACATTGGTCCTTCTGTCACTGAACTGACCCTGTGCTGGAGGAAGGAGCAGTCTTCAGGCCAAGATTATCCAGAACATTCCAGCAAGAGCCTGTCCATTTCCGAAGTATTGGATTTATAGATATTTGGTACCTTTTATTTTAATCTTCTCAGTATAGGGCGAGTGGCACATGACTCGTACCCATTAGGACAGGTGGACATACAGATGGCCAACACTGATGTGCTCTAGAAGCCCAGATACAGAAGCCCACAGTTCTAATGGGTAACTGCAAGTCATATACTGAACAGCCTGACATTCCTCTACAGACACAAAATAATTAGAGTCAATTTGAACAAAGCTTAATAGAGGACAGTAACATCAGGTAAATGCATGACAGGGGTCAGTCAGATGAGGCTTTTTCACCAATCTAAGCATATGAAGCTAATTTCCCACACCATGCTGCCCACGCCTGGTGCAGAGTGGGAGACCAGGACCCTGGGTTCAAGCTGTCTAGCACTGGCGGAGGCACAAGGAGCACAGAGATAACCACTTTAGGTGTTTATAGAGTGACTTCATTGCAATCGTATACTTCTTTCTCTTCTGTCTGTGCTCAGAAAGCCAATTTCTAAGCCTGCCCTGGATTCTAAGAGGACAGGCCACATCCTAAGTGCTTCAACCCCCCATGTGTGGGGAGTTCCCTACAGGAGTTAAACTGATGCCCTGACCGCAAGCTTAGGTCTCATCTGTGTGCTTGGTGTGCATCTATGCCACTCCCAAGGTAGGAAACTGTCTCTGAGAGGAAGTCACCGAGGCCCTCAGGCCTCAGCCCCGACCTAGACTCTGAAGAATTTGCTCAACCAGTACACTATAAAAAGCTCTCCCTGGTCAGACCCCAGCCTCCTCGATCTTCCTAGCCTTGGTGCTGAGGTCTGGTCACTTTCAGCACAAGCATAGCTGGGGATGGGATCTGTACAAATGCTCAGGTTCTGTCCACACCAGCAGCACCACGATTAACTGAAATAAGTTTTACTTGAATGACATAATGACGGGAGCTAGGAAACTAATGGATCTGCTGCTCCTGTGAGAGTAGTAAGATGAATGTTCATTGATGAAAATATACCTCTCAATGTTATTCAACTTATTTTAACTCACATTAGCTAAACAGGTGTATAGACTGCAATGATTTCAAAGTCCATAGTGGGTTCCAAGTAAGAGTATGTTGATCTAAGGATACCAGGGCTTACAGGAAGGGAATGGAAAGTTACTGTTTAATGATTAGAGTTTTATTTGGGATAATGAAAAAGTTTTGAACATGGTAGTAATGGCTGTACCATACTGTAAATGTAATTAATATCACTTAACTGTGCTTTTAAAATGGATCAGATAGCAAATTCTGCTACACATATGGACCAAAATTTTTTAAAGTTAATAGTGTAAAAGGCCAAATACTATTGAATAGTACATTAAGTTATATGGTCTATGAATTATATCTCAATAAAGCTATTAAAATAAAAAAAGAGTATGTAGAATATTTTAAAATTCTATCTCAGAGAAAGAGATTTCATGATAGAAATAGAAAAGTATGAAGATATTGTATGTCTTAACCCACCCACCTTCACAGTTCAATACCATAGACCAAATGCCAAGCATCAACAAGAAAAACACAGCCAGTCACTTTGATATGTTGGATTTTATTTTATTTTTTTAATTGTACAAAGAGCACATGTGCATGAGTTAAAAAATACGAGGGAAATGTAGGGTGTTAAAAAAGAAATACAAAAGAAATCTGAGACATGAAACCAAAAAATTCCATTGTGTGAACTGAAATAAAAAGCTATTTCACTGACTACAAAAGTGTTATTTCAATATATTATGAAGTCTTTTGATTCGGATATAGCACAAGACTTTCCTTCAATTATTCCTTAACAGGGGTGACTCAGTCTTACTGGACAGAGGAACATTAAGACAGGTGGGCGACTGAGTGGTGTTCATGTGGGACAATGTCCATGAGGTATCACCATAAATAAATCCTTTATTAGCTGTTCCACAAAGTCACCACTCCAACTTTCGAGGAGACCCATCTCCATCTTTTCTCTCAGATGGCTTTCAGTGAGGGCTCTTCCCACTTAGAAAAAGAGTGAAGACAGAATGTTGAGAGGCAAAGTCATGCCGCCTTCTGTTTTTATGTATAACACAGCAGACACACAAAGGACATATGATTTTATTTTTAAGCATTTTAGAAAATATTCAACTATCCAGGTGTCACTCTTTCTTCCTGTCTGCACTGCTGCTGTGCAAAGAAGGGGCTGAGGCACGCTGGGGTCACCCATGTGGACACTGTGCTCATCAGCCATGCCCCTGGCTGTCTGACCTCCGTCCCGGCTTTCCCAGGACTCATATTCCACCCACTACCTTTTTTGTTTGTGATGAAATAATTGAGCGGAGTTGCTGTTGCTCTGATGTCTTGGTGCTTATTTTCTTAGTATTTGTAAGACTGCAATGATTTTCTTTGATGGTCTGAGTTATCTGACACCATTCTACCTCACAGCGTCTGATGGACAGCTCGGGAGCTCCACACCGATGGGGAGCACCTGGGAAGCCTGCAGTGCCCCCAGTGCCACACTGGGCAGAGCTAAGTCCGATTCCCCGTATCCGCCTGTGCTACGTATGCGCTCACTCGCCTCCACGGAACAGGGAGCTAACAGCAGTCCCTACGTCGCACAGCAGCAACCGCTTAACGTCTCACACTGCAACAGTGTCTGGCCACCAGCAGCCTGACTAAGTTAACAGAATGTATTCTTCCTTATTTGGTGTTGAGTTGGGACTCGGTATTTTTCAAACCCTGTTGTTATTTTTCTGTAGAAAAAACTTTTAAGAAATTTGACGCCACTGAAGAATGTGACTATTGAATCTGTCGTTAGGACACACCTGGCTACGGCCTTACACTTGTCCTTGGAAGCGCACTGTCCGTCTGCTCAGAGAAAACGCTCCTTTTCTAACCACATGACTGACAAGTTCATTTTCACTTACTTTTATGAAGCAGAAGTCAGAGGTCTAAAAGTGCTTTCTCATTGTCCTGCTTTTCCTCAGCTTCTTCCTCAGATCCTGTGCAGTGGGAAGAAAAAGGGAAATGAGGGTTTCATTCTATGGTTGTCACAAGCTGCTGCATTATAATATACACGTGTCATTTTAAATGAAAGCCTATCTGTTTAAACCTCAATAGATTTAAGTTAATCTTAATATGTTACTTATTTCTTGTAGGAGGAAAACTTTTAACATATTATCATTTGTACTAACTTGGCAAAATGGGTTTCACTTACATACTACTGAAAATACTCAATTAATATGAATGATTATTTTTTTTCTTCCTCTGCCTCTTTGCTGACACAAAGCTTGTATTTTTAAGTCCAGATGATGACCTTTGGTACAACAGATTTAATCACTGTACTGAGGGCCGTGAGGGCTCCCAAAAGGGAAAGCAGAGCCAGATGTTCGCCCTCTCTGGCTGTGGCCAGGGCCCACCCACCAGCCATTCTCCATCAGGTCTCATAAGCCCCATATCACCCCTACACTTCCAGTCACCCCACAGTCATACCACTCTAGAAATCTCCCCTTACAACCCATCCACGAGAAAATACTACTTCTCATCTATTAGATACACTTTCCTCAGTAACAGTTAGAAAATAAAATTAATGTAAGTACCTGGGAATGTAAGAAAGGCTAAATAAGTACATTTCCATGAAATATCTTACCGTCCCTGTAAAATTATGATCATGTATGGTATACAACAGCACGGAAAATACATTTGCACTAAAGCAAAGTAAATATGTAACAAATAAAAAAAAAATCTTTGCATAGAAGATCACATTTGACAAAATTAAAAAAGCAAATATGTATGTGCAACAAGAAAGCATAAAATAATCACATGCCTTTTACATATTTTTGTGAATGTTACAAAATGTTTGCAATGAACATACAATGACTTAGTAATTTTAAATTCCAGTTTTAAAAGCAGGGTATAAGTAATATAGACAGGAAAGACAAAGAGACATCAAATTATACTAGAAGGAAAAAGCTAAATTTTGAACTCCAGTATTGATGAATACTTTGAAGGATAGGGGAGTTTTAAATTTTGCTCCTTCTGCCTTTTCATAAAAGCAAATATGATTTTTCAGATCAGCGAAAGGCAAACAGAGAAGAGGGGAGTGAGGATGGATCAGTTCACACCTGAAGGAGCAGCCAACCTCTGCTGCTGTTTCCACCTGCCTGATGCAGCTAAGAACATCCACCTGGGTTAGTGCCCCGAGCAACTGGGGACACGTGAAGACTGGTCAGAGTTTAAGACTGTGCCCCACATATTAATCTCACAAATGTGACATAGCTGAAGTGAAACTGGGGGTAAAAGAAATAGATAAAAGTAGAATGGCTGGACTGCTCAGTTTCCCAGCCACTGAACTGCCCCACACAATGGAAATGCAGGGTGGTTTAGCTGTTTATATTATTTGAAAGGGTATAAGGAAGATGATCAGGCCAACCCTTCCTTTTTTAGGCTCACTGAACACCTGTGGGGCCATAAGCATGAACACCAAGAAGTGTGTCTTGTGATTACCTGGGAATGCTAAATAAAGCTACACCTTCAACTAAAACGTAACTATATATATTGTCTAAGTAGTTTAAAAGGACCTCTGGCTGTGGTCTAGCAAGGTGGTGAACAGGTCAATGTAACTTCTCCATGAGAAGCACCTCTACCAGTTGGCAAAGTAAACAAAACTAAGCATTCCAATGCACATAATAACTGGACACATCTTTAAGTTTGAGAAAAACGTCTAAATTTAGGAAATAATAGGGCTACTGCGGCCCAAGTTGCTTCTCTTCCTTTCACACCACTGAACACCCAGCTCAGTGCAGAAGACTACCGTGAGGTCCAGCAACAAAGGTCCTAGCTGAAGGAAGCTCCTTCTGCTTGAAGCTAGAGCCACACTCTTGGGCAGGTGCTCTGCTGGCCTAAGGTATTCATAGCTACAGCAAGCAAATGCCTGGCTGCAGCCATTCTCCCATGCAGCGAGCGAGAGACCTAAGAGAGTTCCAGCCAGTCTAATATCCTGAGCTGTAAGCAGACACAGAGATCATATGAAAGGTCTCAGCAGAAAGTAGAAGCTCCAGAAGACTCAAAAATAACCTAATCCTGAAATGTGTCAACCAACCCAGGTACACATTCATTTGGCAAAGGACAGAAATCTTAACCCAGGGATTTGAGTGTGGTCTCTGTTCAGGACTGGGCTACCACTAAGCTCTGTAGCACATGGGACTTCTGGGAAACATTTTGTTTAAAAAGCAAGACTTAAAGAACAAAAAAAATGTAACACACAATGAGAAGTAGCCATATTAGTTGAGGAATATACTTTCATAGGCGATGTATTAAACCAGCAAATAGCAACCTCTTAAGAAGATATCAGAAATTAGAGTTGCTATAATATACTTTCCAACAAAATACTTCTTGACAGAAAACCTAAAACATATATGGAATCAGAAAACTGTGATCATACTAAGGGTGAAAAAATAAACCACCTCTGAATGCCTCCAAATACTCTATTTACCAAGGAAAAATGTCAAAGGAGCTGTTACAAATATATTCCAAAAACTATAGAGAATCAATTTAAAAACTAAAGGAAAATATGACACAAACAAACACAAACATAGAGATTCAAAAGCTCTGTGTTCATACTGTGGAAAAAGTATCCAAATATACAACGGAACAAGCTATTAATATGTGCTAAACATTAACCTTTAACCAAAAGAAGCTGAATACAAAAAAATTAACACAAAATGTCCAGAAAAATGTACATTTATAAAGATAGAAAGCAGATTAACTATGGAGAGTTATTTTAAACATACTTGTAGTTGACTAACTCTGGTAACCAGCGATTAATTCTCAAAATTTTAAACAAAAGGGGGAAAAAACCTGTGCTTAAATCTATTGTCTGTAAAGGGTGATCACATAATTACTCATCTCATCAAACAATAATCCCATAAATAACAGAAATAAATAAGCCCAGCACAGGCAGACTAGCAGGCACAGTCGCTCTGGTGGGGTACTGAACTGGGACACTAATGCCTTTATCCAGACTTGCTTGCAAGAGCTGATATTACATGGTCTAGCTCTTCCTCAGTGTCAGCCAGTCGCTCCCTGAGGTAGGCCAGGAATGCCCCGTCCTTGCCTCACACTGGGTTCCCGTTCGCTTTCTGACCACACGCAAGAGTGTCACTCCAGTCATCTGGAAGGGCTGTGCTTCCTCCTGCTGCCCATTTCACACACAGGTTTACAGGGCACCAGATTCAGCCTACAAACAAATATCTTTACAGCCTTTACAGGGCATATGGTACACCTACTAATATGTGCTCATTTCTTAATTTCTCAGAGGCAAACACTGAGGGGAAAATGCCAAAATTTTTATTTATTTATTTAATCCATTCTCTCTTTCCAGGTAACCCTTCAGTAGTTTTAAATCCACTGTGCGCAAGTTGTACATGACACTGGGGAAACAAGCAGAGATAAGCAGGCTATGCCTGGCAGATGTCCTCATGTCCACATGGTCAGACAGGGCTGGATCAGGCCAACAGCAGCTTACAACTCCACCTACCACAGACTGGCATTTAGCTGGCATAATGAGAAATGTATGCTCTACAGGAGAGTCCTCTGGTCTAGACACATGAATCTAGCAATAATTTTCAAGTTTTAATTCTTGTTGAAACTGAACATTCAAATGTGTAAACATAGTATAACAGAGTGTCCCTCTGAGAATCCTTTTCTGCCCACTACTACTAATCTGCATTTGTCTTAGGCAAAGCAGCCACCCAGTGGAACACTAGGAAAGTGTATCTGGTTCTGTTGAGCTCCCAACCAAATGAGATGGAGATGCCTCAGAGGACCACTAGGTGGTGGCAAACATCAGGCAGAAGCCAAGGGATCAGGAGGGAGAAAGCTTGATGGGGAAAGCTCCTCTGGGTGAAATTCCTCATGTTATATTAGGCTGCTGACCTGAGCTTCTAATGAAGAATACTATTTATTACCAAGAAACTGTATTATTGATAGAAAATAAATAACAATACTTTTTGTATTATTGTACAAAATACTTTTGTATTATTGATAGAAAATAAATAAACAATACTTTTTGACTTTTCTAAGAAAAAGTCAAAAAGTATGAGCTAAATTATGAACTTTCTTTTTAAAGAATGAGTGCTATGACATTTGAATGAAGTAAGAGCAAAAAGGTTAGTATATCACCTAATTTCTACTGTCTGAGAAACAAATTTTCTGGTAATCCACACCTGTACTCCACGTGGCCTGTGGTTTTACATTTTAGGTTCCACAGTAATGTTCAAGATATGAGCTTCCAGGGAGTGCTGGCCTTTGGGCCAGCCCCTAGCCATGCAGGTGCCCTGGAGGCGGGCCGCCGTCACCCGGGAAGCTGTGCAGCAGCACACGCCGGCTCTCATATTGACCGCTGCCTCGTGGTTGAGAACTATCATGGCACAGAGAAGCAATGACACAACTGGCCTGCCACACGCCAGCCGCAGAGGCCTGCCCGGGGATGTGCGTGAATCATCCTGACATGGAGAAACCCCTGGGAATACATGCCACCCAACGGGTCACTCTTGCCCCTGCCGTTGAGAACCAGAAAGGTCCAGAGTCAGCAGAGGAACAGCTGCTGAACAAAGACTCAGAGAACACGAGAATACAGACTACACCCGAAGACTCAGAGGTCTAGTTGACTAGGGTCACAAGAGCCATTTGGAAGCTGGAAACCAGCAGGACCTTGCACAATACCTGGGGAGACCCCCTGGAAGCCATTGTTCCCCTGACAGTACAGGCTGCAGTGGAGGAGGGTGTGGAGCTCCAGAGAGGTCTGCATTGAGATGTCTGCTGCCTGTGCTGACGATTGGGGAGAGGACACTAAGTGGCTGCAGGGTCCCAATGCGCTGGGAGGCTGGAGAGAAAAAGCTATAAAAAATGGCTTTCGGCCCAGATGGCTCACTTGAGATGTTAGTATGAACTGCTTCCTCAGTATTTTACAGCCGTGACAAGGTGGAGGCCAAGGAGAGAAAACAGACACTGAGAAAAAGCAGCTGCTTTTGCTGCAGCACTAAGAGAACGTACCCTAAGTCTGATTCTTGGGGTCCTAAGAAGAACTTGATGACTACATTCATCTGCTACCACTGTTAAAAGCCAGGCCACCTCAACAGGAACTGCCCTAAGAAGGCTCCTGAGCCATGCCCTGAATGCAAAGGTGACCACTGGAGATCGCTCTGCCCTCTGAAGCGGAGGCCCCAGAGCTCAGACTCATCCTACCAGTTAGAACAACAGGAATGAGGGGACCCGGGGCATACTCTGCCTTCTCCCTCTGGCCAGACTGTCATCTCCATGGAGGAGCCCCAGGTAATCATGACTATAGAGGAAACAGAAAACAGCCTGTTGCTAGACAGGTGCAAGTCTGTTGGTCCTTCTTTTCGATCCTGGCCTTCCTTCCAGCCATCACACTTCAGTGAAAGGAGTCACTGGTGAGGAGGTAATATGCTATTTTTCACAACTCTTAGGCTGTAATGACTTGTTAGATCTTTCTTGCATATCTCTGTCTTCCTGAGAAACCACTTTGAAGATATGACCATGTATTACAGCAGCCATTGATATTTTCCTACTAATCTGTCCATAACTCTGTAATGTCTGTATTGTTCCCATGCTATTTTGTAAATGGATGTATGTTTATTACTATGTGTTGCATACAACAACCATTGAGAATAGCCAATGATTATTCAATTGGTCACTCATGTATAGCTCTATTCATTTTCTTTAGAAACCATTTTGAAGATACCAAAGTAGAGTACAACAACCATTGATAATCTCCTACCACTTTTGTCTGTAACTCACTATTACTTGTTTATTTGTTTTCCTCAGAAACTATGTTGTAGATAACAATATGTAAAACACCAACCATTGCTAATTTCCTACCACTTTGTCTATAATTCAATAAGCCCCCTTATTACTATGTTATCCTTCTTTTACTCTTTAAAATAATAATTAAAAAAAAAGATATGAGCTTCTTCAAACTCCTCTAGCACACTGATATTGTACAGTGTTGTGCCTTCCACTATTCACCGGGCTCTTTCTGGCTGGATTCTGTTTTACGACAGTGTATGTTTAGGTCTAATCATCAGAATATAGTGACATAGTCTCTAACCCAAGGTGACACTCCAGTGGTAGAAACAGACCAAGTCACTGCTGAAGGCAATGCAGGCAGCATGAGATGCCAGCACTGTGGAAAAGGTCCCCAAGTATCAAACCCCCCTGCAGAGGGTGTCAGTCTAACCCATTTGGCAATATGGCACAGGATACAAAATAAAGAGAAAGTTTTGCAGTTGAGGAACACTGGGGTCACGAATGCTCTCTGTGGAACAAAAGGCCAGGAGTCCAAAACCTCATGGCTTTTATTAGTGTCAATCAGGGAGGTGGGTGGGGGTCTCAGCAGAATACAAGGGAAGAGAAACTTTGCAGGCACTGGCTGTAAGGAGAAACCACACAGAGATTCTCCAATCAGCAATATAATAGATAGCTCGACGTATGCAAGGCTGGCACCTGTACTGCCAGCACGGTATAATTCTGAGTCCCATGGCCTCAACTGAGATGTTACCTCATGTCTTAGCCCTGGAATCTCACAGGCTCTTGCTCAAGTTCCCATGGGGGAACGGAGGATGGATGGACATATTCTCACCCTCGTGTTGCAATGAGACAGGCTGGCTTCTCAGCCAGACTCGATCACATTCTTTTAGCCAATTAAGGGAACATCTGTTTCAGTACAGCCAGCTCTGCACATGTCAGTGAACAGGGTTGAAGTAATGGCAGGGAAAGATCCAGGCAAGGGGCTTTGTTTCTCAGGAGAGTGCAGCTTGGCAGTCTCCCACACCCAAGACCATGCAAGCATGGCCTAACCAAGACAGCCAGAGGGAAGAGTGAGCATGAAAGGTGTGGGGGAGAAGCCTCTGGAACACAGTACTGGAGACGTGATGTTCAGAACAGAAACAGCCAAATGCAAAGCAGCTGAAGGCTTTGCGGCACAGCATTTTCAGAAAAACCAGTAACACAAGAGGGCAGCCATGAGGAGGTGAGCCACTGGGTAAGGGGTCACAGAGGCACGTTCCACCAGGCAAAGGGTCTATTTATTTCTGAGTCCTTTATGCCACAGGAGGCTTTTGGCTGGGGGAATGACATGATCAGTTCTGCATTTTCATAAATACTGACAAAGGCTGTGAGACCCCAGCAGCTGTGATTGGGACTCTCGCACTAGAGCCGAGGTCCAACCTGAGCTCCACCAGAGCCCATGTGAGATGCTGGGTGACTGTTCTTGTTCTCTCTTCCTCGGTCTCTGCAGGTCCACACTGCAAACCTCACAATAAAGTTCATAAAGACACACTGCAATGTTTTCATGAGCCTGACTTTACACTGGATGGCACTCAGTAGTGGCATTCGCCTTTATTTTGATCACAACTGTAAAGACACTAAAGACATGCATGAAGGAGGACGTGTGCCTTACAAAGTGGTAAGAATGATGAGAGGACAAATGCAATGGAAGTGAAGGGAAACATTCTGAGAGGAACTAATGGCAGTGTGTCTTTTACTTTAATAAATTTTAATTTAAGCACTTAAGAATGATCTACTTTGTTTACCTACTGTATCTTCATATCCCAGTATATGAAATGGTTGCTAAGTGTATTGAGAAACAGAGGGGAGAGGGACAGGGAGAATGTATACAGGTTTTGAAGGACGGACAAAATCACAAATGGTAATCACAATGTTTACCTGCTTCAGATTCAGGAGGGGAATAAAACTGACCATCTGACAGACCCGCAGGTATGAGGGCTGCCCTCTCTGATGCATCCTGAACAATTAGGAGTCCTGAAAGAGAAGAAATACAAACGCTGCATGTAACTCAGTTCCTACTATATTGCCAGTAAGTTTAAGTATTATAACATGGTATTATTATTAGCTTAAAGAAAGTCTTAGGAAAAAAAGTAGACCAAAAATCTTTCAAGGGAAAAATAACAGGTTCCATCAATAATCTACGATGATAACATAGTAGTTTAAAACTTGCTGCAGTCGGCGGTGGCAAGATGGCGTAGTGGAGAGATGCAGCGGTGGAGGGGAACAGCAGATGTACGCACTGGCTGCCATGGGGGACCGCGCAAGCTGTGGGTGAGCGAAGAGGGCTCAGCTGCCCCTTGCAAGAGAGCGATTGCTGAGAACCATTCTGGAGAGGGACAATAGAACTGGGAACTAAGAGCGGCTGACAGCTCCATCTAGTGGCTTCAAACTGGACTCAGGCCCCCAGAATGCACGCAGACGGCTGCAAGCCACCAGAGGGTGCCAGTTCACTGGCTTTTTGATATAAATCAGTACAAGCTGCTGTCTAAATAGGTTGTTTACAAGCCACAGCAGAGACAAACCTGGAAGTGGACTTTTTGTTGCTGTGGTTGTTGTCGGTTTTTTTGGTTTGTTCGTCTATTTGTTTTTGCTTTCCTCTCTCCCCTCGTTTTTTTTTTGCCCCCCTTTGGAAGTTTTCCTTTTTTTCTTTTTCCCTCTGTATTTCTCCTTCATGGTTTGAACCTGTGTTTGTAAGAGTGAACATGGTGTCCAGCCTCCTTGTCATTGTGGTTCTGTTCAGTTCTTTTTAGCTTTTCCTCCTCTTCTCCCAATCTTTTGCACCAGCTTCCCCATGTTAGTGTGACACCCCTTTGTTCCCCAGCCTTCTAATCTCTTCCTCCTCTTCCACTTCTCAATTTTCTCCCTAACCCATTTTAAATTTTAACCCCTGAGGGAAAAATCGACTTACTAAGGACCTATATACTGCACACAATTTTCTGGTTTGTTTTAGATTATGTTATATAACCACAAATGTATCTCCTATGGTTAAAGGTGGCAAATTATCGATTACTTTAGCTTGTAATTTTCTAGGCGGTATTTTACATTACTATTATTGGTACTACTATAGCCAAAAGTGACGTAATTGTTCTAAACAGCTGTCACAAACATCACCCCAAGAAAAAAACAGAAAACAAAATGAGGAGACACCTAAACAAGATGCAACCCCAAGCATTACCAAAGGTAAACCCAGGAAGCAATGAGGTGGGTCAATCCGAAAACCATTCCCACCTGGCCCTCTCTGAAGTGGTAACAACAAAGCAATTTAATGAGGCTCTAGAAAGAAAATAAAATCAGAAATATTCTCTCAGATAACTGCAGAGATGGTGTCCACAATGAAAACCACGTTTAATGATTCTAGAGCAGATACAGACAAGAAAATAGATAAGCTGAAAAAAATTAGGAAACCATGAATGCTCAGCATAGGAGAGAAATGGAATCCATAAGGCAGATTCAAGCAGATATCCAAGAGAATAAAAAGCCTACTGAAAGTATTTGCAGCAGGTTAAATGAATGTGGGGACAGACTATCAGATATAGAAGACAGGCCTGCAGCTAGTGACCAGAAAAGAAAGATTTCTTAAAAATAGCAAGAAACTATGAGAAATCAATACAACAGCTGCTAGATGAGACAAAGAAGAATAATTTAACTGGAGTCAATGAAAAAACAGGAGATAGCACAAATGATATTAAAAACTGTTCACAAATGTCATGACAGAAAACTTCCCTGGTAGAGAAAAAGAATTCACAATACAGTAAGTGAAGCATATAGAACCCCCATGAGCCATGACCAAAAACCATCTACACCCAGGCATATCATAGTCAAGATTCCAAAAATTCAGCACAAGAATAGAATATTAAAAGCGATAAGAGAAACAAATCACCTATAAAGGAAAGCCCATCAGAATCACAGCTGATTTCTCAGCACAAACCCTGAAGTCAAGGAGGGCTTAGAGTGAAGTATTTCAAGTGCTAAAGGAAAACAACTTTCAAACCAGACTGATGTACCCTGCAAAATTATCTTTTAAAACTGATGGAGAAATAATATACTTCCATGACAAAGAACAACTGAGGAAATTCATGACCACCAAACCAGCACTCCAAAAGATTTTAAAGGACATTCTAAGAGAACACAAGGACTACAAACCCTATAAACCCCAACAGAAGGAATTCACCAGGCAGGGTAAACAAGTAAACAGAAGGAGGGGACAAAAAAGAGAGTCAGTAATAGGAAATAACATGAAAAGGATAAATCAACACATATCAGTTGTAACTATCAATGTCAATGGCCTCAATTCACCAATCAAGAGACACAGATTGGCAGAATGGATCAAGAAACATGATCCAACAATATGCTGCATACCAGAAACACATTTAATTAAAAAAAATTCATAGGCTAAAACTTAAAGGATGGAAAACAATACTACATGTGACAGGAACACAGAAAAAAGCAGGGGTAGCTATTCTATTTGCAGACAAAGTGAATTTTAAGCCAAGAAAAATTAAAAGAGATAAAGATCACTATATCCTTGTATAAAATCATAGATATATATGCAACAAATACCAGTGCACTGGCTATATAAAACAAATATTAACAAGCATGAAGAATCAAATAAACACTAATACAATTATATTGGAGGATTTCAATACCCTACTGTAACAAAAAAACAGATAAACTAGACAAAAAAAAAAAAAATCAGCAATGAAAGAAATGAACCAAACTTTTGAACAAATGGACTTAGGGGATGTATAGAGTGTTCCACCCTACAACATCTGAATACACATTCTTCTCAGCTGTACATGGGACATTCTCCAAAATACACCACATACTAACCCATAGAACATATTTAAGTAAATGCAAAGGAATTGAAATTATCCAGTGCATATTATCAGACCATAGTGCAATGAAACTGGAAATCAATGGCAAAAGAAAGTACAAGAACTTCAAAAAAACATGGAAATTAAATAGCACCCTCCTGAGCAACCAAGGGGTCACAGATGAAATGAAAGAAGCAATTAGACATTTTATACAATTAAATGACAATAAATATACAACATACCAGAACATATGGGATACAATGAAAGCAACTGTAACAGGTAAATTTATAGCAGTGAATACCTACATCCAGAAAATAAAGCAAGCACAAATGAACAACTTAATGCTGAACCTCAGTTCTCTAGAAAAAGAACAAAGTCAAAAGCGCATATGAGGGAATAAATTATAAAGATCAGAGCAGAAATCAACGAATTGGAGAATAAAAAAGTACAAAGAATCAATGAATCACAGAGTTGGTTCTTCAAAAGGTTAAATAAAATTGACAAACCCTAAGCCAATCTTATCAAAAAAGGAAAGACTCAAGTCCAAGCAAATAGGAATGAAAAAGGTGAAGTCACAATGGACCCTTCAGAAATCTAGTCATTCACCTATACTTACTTTGAAAACTTATATTCTAATAAGATGGAAAACACAGAAGAAATGGACAGACTCTTAGATACATATAGATTACTTAAATCAAGAAGATATAAAAAAAACCTAAATAAAACAATATTGATGAAGTCGAAGATATAATTAAAAACCTACCAACACAGAAAGCTCAGGCCCTAACAGATTCACTGTTCAGTTCTACAAGAAATTTAGAGGAGACTTAATACCAATACTGCTCAAACTCTTTAGTGAAATTGAAAGGAAAGCAATACTCCCAAATTCATTCCTGGAAGCAAGCATTACCCTCATACCAAAACCAAAGAAGGACCCACCAAGAAAGAGAACTACAGGCCTATCTCCCTAATGAACACAGATGCAAAAATCCTCAATAAGATACTGGCAAACAGAATGCAGCATATCATCAAGAAGATTATACAAGACCAAGTGGGATCCATACCATGGATACAGGGATGGTTCAACATACATAAATCAATAAATGTAACACACCATATAAATAGAGCCAAGGACAAAAATCATATGATTACCTCAATAGATACAGAAAAAGATTTTGAGAAAGTCCAGCATCCATTTATGTTAAAAATCCTACAGAAAATGAGAATGGATGGTCTTTATCTCAATCTGGTAAAAGCCATCTGTGAACAATAGCCAACATCATACAAATGGGCAAAAACTGAAACTTTTCACTCTAAAATCAGGAACAAGACAAGTACGTCCACTATCTCCATTCCTATTCAACACAGTCCTGGAAAGTTTAGCCAGAGCAATTAAAGAAGAGAAAGAATTAAAAGGAATAATAATAGGAAAGGAAAATGTAAAATTATCACCATTTGCCAATGACATGATACTCTACATAGAAAATCCCAAAAACTCCACTAAAAAACTGCTAGATTTAATAAATAAATTCAGTGGTATGGCTGGATACAAAGTCAACACTCAAAGATCAACAGCCTTCATATACACAAATAACTCACTGAGAAATTAGGGAAATGCCTTTCACAATAGCATCCAAAAAAATGAAATACCTAGGAATCAATCTAACAAAGGATGTAAAAGACCTTTATGTTGAAAACTAGAGTACTCTGAAAATGGAGACTGAAGCAGGTATCAGTAAATAGAAAGACATCCCTTGCTCATGGGTAGGAAGAACCAATACAGTAAAAATGGCCATACTTTCAAAAGTGTTATGCAGATTTAATGCAATTCCAATCAAAATTCCAACAGCATTTCTCACAGAGTTAGAAAAAACAATCCTAAAATTCATTTGGAACCAGAAGAGACCTAGAATAGCAAAGGCAATTCTGGGCAACAAGGCAAGGCAGGGGGCATCACAATCTTTGACTTTAAATTATACTATAAAGCTACTGTGATAAAACCACTGTGGTACTGGCGAAAAAAACAGACCCAAAGATTAATGGAACAGACTAGAAGATACAGAAACAACTCCAGACATATTCAACCACTTTATATTTGACAAAGGGGTCAAACACATACATTGGAAGAAAAATAGCTTCTTTAATAAATGGTGCTGGAAAAACTGACTCTGCACATGTCAAAAACTGAAACTGGACCCACACCTTTCACCATGCACTAAACTAAATTTGAAATGGATCAACGATCTAAATATTAAGACAGAAACACTAAATCTGCTGGAAGATAGATTAGGTATAACTCTTGAAGACACTGGAGTAGGCAAAGACTTTATGAATACAACCCTGATTGCACAGGAAGTATCACAAACAATCAATACTTGGGATCTCACCTTATTAAAAAGCTTTTGCAAAGAGAAACCACTAACAGAGTGAAGAGACAGCCCACAATGTGAGAAAAAATGTTTGCTGGATGTTCCTCAGACAAAGGTTTACTATCGAGAACATAAAAAGAACTCAAAAAAAATCAGACCTCCAAATTTAAAGACACAGTCCAAAAATGGGCATCTGAGATGACTACACACTTCTCAGATGAAGAAATACAAACAGCAAATAAATATATGAAAAAATGTTCAACATCATTGGTCATTTGGGAGATGCAAATTAAAACAGCACTGAAATTCCATATCACCCCAGAAAGAATGGCTATTGTCAAGAAATCAACCAATAACAAATGCTGGAAGGGTTGTCAGGGAAAAAGGAACCCTTCTCCACTTTTGGTGAGAGTGTAGACTAGTACAACCACTGTGGAAATCAGTGTGGAGACCCCTCAAAAAAACTAGGATTGGAGGTCCCATTTGACTCAGCTATTTCCCTTCTGGGTATCTTCCCAGAAGAATTAAAAAATTATCATCACAGTGATATATGTACACCCATGTTTATAACAGCATAATTTGTAATAGCTAGATCTTGAAAACAACTCAAATGCCTATCAACTGAGGAATGGATAAAAAAGATGTGGTCTTTTTATATAATGAAGTAATACTCAGCCAGAAAGAAGAATAAACTAGAGACTTTTGTAGGTAAATGGATATAACTCAAGACCACACTCATAAGTGAAATAAACCAGACATAAATGTGTAAATATTGTATGGTCTCCCTAGTGTGAGAGCTGAAAGAGTAAATATGATCCAAAATGTGCAATAGATAGTGTAAAATCGGAAGAAATTTCAACAGGAAAGAGAAACTGGTTTAGAGGAATGGGAAAAAAGAAGTAAGGGAAAAGCAAAAGAAAAAAAAAAAAAATATATATATATATATATATTTAGTTAAGATATGGTATGCTGCTAACTTCTCTCAGTTCACTAAAAAGATAGGTTTGTGCTAATATTGTGTGGAAAGTTAAATGCTGATTATCTCGTACTCTGAGTAACTAACTGAAAGATAACAATGCACAACGTGGCAATGTGTTGACCACTGTTACCCTCCTATCGTACTACTTTGAAATTCTGTTCTTAAGTTTAGGTGTTTATAATTTAAAAATAAATAAAAATTGCTACAAGTTTTTGCTAGGATTCCTAAACTCAGTATTTATAGTATCTTTCCCTTGGGAATTCTTTTCCTCTTGCAAATATTAACATCAACCTTAAAACCAAAACACTGGGTGAAACAAAAAACTGTCCAGCTCATAGAAAAACTGACCAGTCTGCTTTCGGTTAAAGAAATGCCATATGTCATGGAATACCTAGATGGCCCTTATAAATACATAAAGAACAAAGAAGATGATAAAGAAATATTTATGTTAATAAAAAAAGTATTAAAACTAGTCAAAAAAAGAGGGAAATCCCAAAATGCTCATACCTATGAGCAAGGCCATCAACAATGAATCCTTGGCCAAAGGCTCGGTTGAGTTAAGCTACAATTCGAGGAAGCACAGGTCAGAGAACAAAGGACAGGTCAGTGCACCTGCTACTGGCGATGACAGTCAATGCTGGTTTTGAGATTGTCATGGATTGTGTTCTGCTCTTACCCACTGTACTTTTTAAATTTTAAAGTAAAAAGAACAAAAGCAAAGTAACAAAAAAAGGACAAGAACAAAACAACACAAAAACAAAAATGATACAGAATTTCAGAACAAGGTGATAGGAAATCAACAATGGTTATTGTATTACTTATTGTCATCTTCAAAGTAGTTGCTTAAATTACCAGATATAGGTATGCAAGATTGATCAAACAATTAAACATTAACTGTTCAATAATCCAACAGAAATTAGCAATACAATTATCTTAGCTATCTTGTGTGTGTGTGTATGTATATATATATTTTTCCCCTTTCTTTTTTCTTTCTTTTCTCCTTTCCCTCATCCCAATTGTTCTTTTCTATTGAGCAGTTTCTTTTCCTTTCACAGTATCTGTTGTACCTTTCAGATTTTACTTACTCTTTCAGGTTCCTACAGTACGGAAACAATATGGTGTTTACACATGCGGGTCTGTTTTATTCCACTTATGAGTATGGTCTCTAGTTGCATCTATTTACCTATAAAAGCCTCGAGCTTATCTTTCTTTATAGCGGAGTAATACTCCATTGTATAAAAATACCACATCTTTTTTATACATTCCTCAGTTGATGGGCATCTGAGTTGTTTCCAAGATTTAGCTATGACAAATTGTGCTGCTATAAAGATGGGTGTGCATATATCACTGTGGTATGATGTTTTTAATTCTTCTGGGAAAATACCCAGAAGGGGAATAGCTGGGTTAAATGGGACCTCTAATCCCAATTTTATGAGGAACCTCCAGACTGATTTCCAAAGTGGTTGTACCAGTCTATATTGCCATCAACAGTGGAAAAGGGTTCCTTTTTCTCCACAGCCCTTCCAGCATTTGTTGTTGGTAGATTTCTTGACGATAGTCATCCTTACTGGGGTGGGATAAAATCTCAGTGTTGTTTTTGTTTTAATTTGCATCTCTCTAATGACCAATGATGTTGAACATTTTTTCACGTATTTATTTGCCAGCTGCATTTCTTCATCTGAGAAGTCTGTATTCATCTCAGATGCCCATTTTTGGATTGGGTGTTTAAATTTCGGGAGTCTGATATTTTTCAGTTCTTTCCATGTTCCAGATATAAGTCCTTTGTTTGAGGGACTGTGAATTTTGTTTAATCAAATAACCACTCAAATCTTAGTCATACTAACAGTTAATATTCTATAAATACAGTTCAGCTTGCTGATCATGTAAAATAAAAAGACTTCCATTAGCTTCACCTGTGCCTTTCCCTCATTATGCTTTCATAAAAGAAAAGGGCAGAGGACAGTAGGAACTTCTTGGACCAATAATATGTTTTTAAGATCTACTCCTGAATTTTGCTTTTTTTTTTTTAAATACATTTTTCTTCAGTGAAAAAGATTTTTCCAAAATAAAACTGCATGCAAAGAAACTTCTGGTCTCATTTTTTCTGAGGCTACAAACACGCTTAACTTCCCACAGGATACAAGATTTTGTCCCATGAGCCAGGGAACTATGAGCCAAGTGATGGGAAAGGGTACCCAAGTGGCACTCCTAAGCACCTCACAGGCATCTGAGCTAAGCTGGGGTCATTCACCTCTCAGGGTGGGAGGCTGGGCCTACGGCATCTACTAAGGCACTATGTGGAGAAGAAACTCAGCCCAGGAACTGACCACGCAGGTGGACCCACCATTTGGCTTTCCTGGTTACATCCTGGATACCCAAAGCCAAGACAGGAGGCGATGGAGCCCTGGCAGAATTTGGTCCAGCTGTCACTCTACCTACCACTCAGAACAGGACAGCGGAGGGCTGAGAAGGCTGAGTGTTGCTTTGGCTGGGTCTTCCTCCTTTGAACTCCAACTCTGCTACTACAGTCCAGCTCTAGGCACGTAACTGTTTAACTACAACCTGTTCCAAGCCCATACCTGTTGCGTGCACAGTTACAACGCTTTGGAAAACCACTACCTTGTATTTAAAACTGCTACTTTGCCTCACTGCAAATGGATTGCACTTTTTCTGCCTCTTAACAGCAGCGCTGTGAAATGCACTAAAAGCTTAGTGTCCTGTGAGGATTAACAGTATGATTACTATGCATCTCTGAGGGGAATTTTCTGTTGTTTCATGAACAGCTTCCAGACTTCTGCCAGCTGTCCTCTCATCCTCACACCCACACAGCCCTTCCCACACTGACACTGTGAGGGCCTCACCCTACCCACCCTCAGTTGGTTCACTTCCACTTGATCCCTCCCTCCACTGGATACTCAGCCAGTCCTAGAAGGCCAGAAACTTACTGCTTTCCTCTTCTGCTTCCTGAGGTAACACCTTGAAATCCAGGAACCAAGTCTCAATCCAGGCAAGGATGAATGAAATGATGGGCAGCACATAGCCAAATGCCCCTTGCGAGAAAAGCTGGAAGACAGACGTGACAGAGGGAAGGTGCTCACTACCAGCTCACACTGGAAACCGAGGCGTCCTCACTGCTGCGGGCGATGGTGCAGGGAAGGGGGGCATACCTTTGAGAGGATCACTTTCGCTAGTAGAAAGGCACTGGTCACTGCGGTCGTCAACTGCAAGACACATAATGCACTTTTACTCAAATTAGATGGTTCACACTGTGAAGAGCCCACCTGTACCAGGGGACCCAATAGAGCTAGAGTAGATGATGCTTCAAGCACCCGTGTCCAGCCTGGCTTCTCCCACTGTTCTGTCTCTGTCCCTGACTCAGAGTGGGTGTTTGTGATATTCCTTCACCACACTTTGGAGGCTAAAGTGTTAGAACCTATGCTTGATGAATCACGAGGTATAGGATGCTAAGAGACTACAAGCACACAGGAAGGGTCCACAGAACTGTGAAGACAGGGATGTCCCTGCGGGGTTACAGTCCAAAGAGAATCCTACAGGACTCAAGCCCTGTCACTTCGTCCTCCACCAGTATTTTAGCTCGGTGAAACCTGAGCAAAGCGAATGCCAATCGCTGCCATGACTGACAGAGTAGAGAGCAGGGTGTGTAAATATTAAGTAGACACAGGGAGACACACAGGTAGACACACATGTGCGTGCGTGCGCAGGCACACCACACTGACTATTATTCTTCTCATTTTGATATATCTGAAGTATCTTAAATTTACATCTGCTGGGGACAGGAGGCTTTCACAGCCTGACACTAATTCACTTTCCAGGCTGACACTAAATGCTCTCAGGTACCAGCTGATTGACTCCTAGACTTTCTCTGCAAGTGGCTTTAAAATGAAACCACCACCATACAATGGATTTGCTACATCAGACCTATCCTTCAGACAATTCAGAGGTAGACACTAAAGACACATTCTTGTAACTCTTACTGAAAGTGTACATGTCAACCTCTTTTCCAAAACGCTGAAACAAGGCCGGATGGACACCAGTCTACATCTTGGACACTGGAAGGGAATGTCCGGCACGCAGACTACTGTAGAAAACCCGGAAGATGCGATCTTCAGTCAGTGTGACATGAGCAGAAGGGGACTCAAGAAAGGGAGTCAAGTCTGCCCAGACTGTCAGGAAGCCCTCAGAATGACAGCTTCCAGATTTGGAGAGGGACCAGCCTCCCGCATGAGCTGGAGCTGTGCAGATGATACAGCCCAGGCAGACGCGGCCCTGGTGGACGTGGTCTTCAGAGGGCAGCACAGCTCCCACCCTAGAGGGACTCTGCACTCAGGAGTTCACCATTCCCCCTCCCGCCCTGCATCTGCTATACAAGAGCTTTAAAAGGGCCCAAATAATTCAGGCAGACTCGCCTGTCTTTCAGTCTCAGTATTTAACGAGGATGAACACAATGTGCCCAGGCTCTGTGCTGTATGCAAGAAAAGCGATGATTGAAAATACTGCTGCCCTGAAGGAGCCAGAAGGCAAAAGTTAGAGGAGCACAGGAGTATTTCCCCTGAGATCAGGGCAGGGGTGCTGATTATCAAAGTAATACAGACTAAATCATGAAAAAGTCACCACATAGTATCAAGCAAACAAGGAATTTCAGGACATCTCTGTGACTGACGTAGGCTCTCAGCTCTTGTCTGTGAAGGAGGTGGAGGCTGAGTGGTTGTTTGGCCCATAACCTCCACAGGGTCTCTCAATTCCTCATGCGGCTCAGCATCCTGGAGACCAAGCTAGCCAAACCTGAAGTGAGGGATGAAAGGGACCCAGGCCGGCTGAGCAGCCTGGCCACCAGCCCTGCCAAGACCACACTCACCCCCACTCACCGCTATTGCCCACCAGTGGCGCAGTCTGCACACAGCATACGCAAGGATCAGCACTTTAAACCGGAAAACTGCCAAGAGCTGGGGGAAGCAATAAGAAAACAAAGACAAGTTATTTAAAATACATACCAAATAAAAGTGACTCAGCTTTCTGAACTTGCCAGACCATCATCATCCCGCTGATTTGAGTGGACACAGCCTCCAATGGGCACCCAGACCAGCACAGGTGTCCTGACCCAGATCCTAATGTAAAGCCACTCAAGTTGAGTTTCACGTGCGTTTTCAGTGATGACAAGTACAGCACCACCATAAAGGAATAGCATTTTCCTTACAAAATCGTAAATATAGGTGAATCTTCCTTTTTATGACTATGACATGTCAGTGAGTTCTATTTCAGCCACGAGAGAATACGGTGCCTGCATGCACACACCCACACACATATATACACACACCCGCAGGGAACAGCTTTTCCCTTGGCCCTCCCTTACGCCCTGTACATCTTTCCTTTCCTTGGCAATAGCACATAGTCCTGTGTGGACGGGGGCCTGAGTAGGAGCACAAGTCAGAAAAAAAGAAATAAGGTGAGCATTCAAGCGAACAGCCTGGCACGGAATTTGAGTCCTTTCAGAGGAGCTCTGCCTTTGGGTTTCAGTTTCCTCACATCTGAAGACATAAAATGTAAAATACTTACGAAGATATCAAAATAAGAAGAGTAGTAGTCATACTGCACCACCTCCTTCTCCAACGTGTTCTCAATGCCTCCGTTCACCTAGGAAGCAGAGGGAGAAGTGAAAGGAGGAGACTGATATGAGAAAATAAAACGAGGTTAAGGTTTCCTATGGACTCCCTGCCCACCTCCTCAGGAGCCACAAATGTTCAAACCTGGGAGAAAAAGATCTCAATTTTAACAAAAAAAAAGGGCTGAATAGCACGTCTCACTTCCTCAGTTCTTTCACTCATGCATCCAATAGATAAATGCATAATGAGAAATGATGCAGTTCATATTTTGGCAAATTAACATGCTACAAAAAATGAGGTAGTTTTCAATATACAAATGTGTGTTTCTGCTCACTCAGGATTTCACCTTTTGCAAGGCCAGGGCTCCCTAATCCAAACCAAATACCTATGAGGGCAGTTGTCACAATGTAAGGACAGAAGTGGTTCGCTGTCTTTATTTGCAATTGGCATTTGAAAATTTTTCATGCTTATCAATTTAAGTATGTAACTTGGATTAAGAGAATCAGCAACAGACTAAACCTATGATTATGCATGACGAAGTCATAGTTAATAATAAAGATCAAACTTGGGAGGGTCAACTTTCTGTTCTCTACAAATTCTATTATCAAAGTGAACGTTAAATCATCAAGTTCAAAACTCTACAAATAGCATCACCAGAACCATTTTTTCCTTTTTTTTTTTTGTTTTGATACCAGGAATTAAAACCAGGACCCTCCCAATGAGCTACATCCTCAGCCTTTTTCATTTTGAGACAGGGTCTCCCTAAGTTGCTACACTACCCAGGCTGGGCTCAAAGTTGGGATCCCCCTGCCTCAGCTTCCCAGAGTACTATGATTAAACTGCACCTAGCTTAGAACAGTATTTCTTAAGAAATCAATTTAGGAGATACAGGGCAGCCACTGATGCAGCACCAGGCTGGCTCTGTCACCGTGAGGGCCTAGGGTCAGCCTGGTCACAGGGAATGAGACGTGTAACATTATTTCAAGCTTCTAATTCTAACATAGTCTTAGTGAACAAACACAGAGGCTCTGTGAAAAGAAAAGGCACAGTGCAATTAATCAACTGAGTAAGAGTGAAAGAAATAAAAAAGGAATAGCTCTGTAATAGCATCTGTCAAATGAGAATAAAGGTTGTCCCACGGTATTTGGTTTATTACGACAGTGAAAGTGGCTAATACTACGTCATGCCCTCAATCCCTGAAGGTTTCTATTTCTGATTTCTGTGTCATTAACAGGGACAGGCTATAGATTCATGTGCCTCTACATCTTTACAAATGAATAGAACTAAAAAACTGAGAACAGAAAAAGGTCATTCATTATTAAAAGCCAGCCAACCCTCTCCTCTGTGCTGTGTCTCTCCATACTGAGGCTTCCCATTAGCTAGAACGTTGAAACAATGTTACCCCACATGGTGCCAGCAAGGTGAGCCTGTCACCTCCAGAGCCTCTCTGCTACACAGAGTGCGGGGGCCAATGCTGCCAGTTCAGATTTGCCTGGAAAGTAAGTTTTCCTCCTGTGGCTGAACACTCAAGACTAACTCTGCATTGCCTTTAAGTGGAGATGTTTAGAATATGTATCTGCAACACTAACTTATACTCTAAATTCACCTTTATCTAGCTCAAGGTATCTTAGACTGATTATAGTTCCACACAAAATCCCTTCCCAATCAAGTTCTTTCTGGTACAAGCTGAGTGACCCTCATCCAAACATCTGAAATCTGAAATGCTCCAAAATCCAAACCATGTGGAGCACAAACACAGCACCACAGGCGGAAGTTCCACAACTGACACATGATGAATCTTGGCCCAAGCGCAAGCCCATTAAAAATACAGTACAAGATTCCTTTCAGGCTACGTGGATAAAGTATATATGAGTAATTCTGTGTTTAAAATTGGGTCTCATCTCCAAGAGTATTATGTATTCAGGTAAATTTTTTAAAATCCCCAAATCTGCAACAGTCCTGGTCCCACACACATAGGAAGAGGGATATCCAGCCCACACTGCTCCTCTAGATTCCATTATAATTCGGTACCTGGGAACCACACTTTGATGCTGGGGTGGGTGAGGTCTCCTATTTTTCAAGCTTCTGCTGCTCCTCCTCAGTAGGCCTCCTTCCTCTCACCTTTCTTCCAGAGAATCCTTCAGTAGGTTGTGAGTTAGGGCTCTTATGGCCCTCTGCCCCTAATTTATTAATCCAGCTGCTCACCACTGCCACCAACTTCTCTGGCCATTCACCAAGTATCTGCTGGGCAACTACTGAGCATCAGGCCTTGTTCTAAGTACAGAAAAGACTCCAGCAAACAAAACAACATCTCTGTCTTCATGAGCGTACATTCGAGCAAGGCAAGAAAGATGACAAATTGGAAAATAAGTGAGATGTAGAAAACACAAGTGGTACAGTGTGACAGAATAATGGTGACATTTAATCTGACACCAGCACGATAGGATATCAGAATATACAAAAAGATAAAGGAAATTAATCATTTAGGACAGAGGACACCACTAGTAGAGAGGCTTCAATACAGATAGCCCATTCCCATCTAAGAGTGGGAGGAGGCAGATGTTGGCATGAGTGAAATGGGCTGCTTATGAGGAAACAGCAGACACCTTTTGCTGGGGAGGGAGCTTCCTGTGGTAATGAGAAGGTTAAAATTCTATACCATAAATTTTGCAAGATACTACTATTGGAAACTACTGATCTACGCAATCACTGGGCAACATTATTATATAATCCTTCGTACCTCTAGAAAAACTTAATAAAATATGAATGAACAACATCTTTGCAGAAAAGGTAAAAAAAAATATGCAAAATCTCAAGGAAGTGTAAAAAATTTCCAGAAGCACTTCATTGTTTTGTGTTTCTGAAAGGTCCTAGGGAATAATTATTTTTGCCTTTTGGATCAAAAAAATCTTTCTCAATGACTTCACCAATTACTCAGCCCAAAGGCCACCTAAAGACAGTATGTAAACAGATAAACCTGGGTGTATTCCAATAAAACTTTACTAAGACAAACCTGCTGAATTTGTCTCTCAGTCTAGTCTTTCAATTCTTCTTACTGAACAAAAACAACAGGAACTCAAATTTCAATATCCAAGACAAAGTGAGCTTTACATTTACCAGGTTTGCTTTCAACAGGGACATTAAAGACCAACAAAGGTCTAAATCAGCTGGAGAAGGGCAATGTTGTTTCATTTGGAAAAAGATGTTATTCACTGAATGAGACAGATACAAGAAAAATTTTTTAAATTGTTTTTTGTGTCTGGAAACATTTTTTACAAAGTCATAAAAAATCAACTTACATTTAACTCTATTATCCATAGTAATGTTACAAATAATAGGTCAAAGGTGACAAACAAACAGAAAGTCCTCCTGACGTCGGATATGCCTTTCTTCTCCCTTCCTTCATAGGACTCGATCCTGGCCATGAGCTGCGTGGGGTTGATGGAATGGACATCGCGCAGGGAAGCGCGGGAGCTCTGGCTCCCTGTGAGAGCGCTCTCCATGTCTTCTGGAAGCGGGAGCATCCCAGAGGAGGGTTACAGGAGCCTCTTCCAATCCCACCATCCCTAGAGAGGAGACCTGTGGGAAACAAAAGAGAAATAGCAGGTCATGTCTAGTTCACCTGCCACAACCACACTGCCCTCACCACTGTGAGACTATGTGCAGGTGCACAGTAGTGTTGTCACCATTCGTGTCTTGATGAAGACAAGGAGAAAGTGAAATAAGAAACAACAGTTGTTCTCAATTTATACTACAGAGTAGTGTTTCAGAATAGAACAGCAATAAAAAGAAAGGAAATGTAAGGTAGGGAAGGGTGAAGACAAGGTATTAAGCACAACTGAAAGGCATTCCTGATAATCTGGGACAAGCTTTCTGGGAAAACTCCCATGCTCATGGACTAGGAAACATACTGAACACGTTCTCAGAACACATAAACAGAATGTGTAAACTAGCTATAATAACTTGTTTCCTAATGAGGGGCCATTTTCCACCCAAATACTTAATAAGCTGAATTTAGCATCTCCCCATAGACTCTTAATAAATAACCACGTTTCTGAGCCTCTTCTTGGAAGTATTCACATCCCAAAAAGTCCACCCAACTGTGTAACCACCCAACTGGTAATTACAGAAGTTACAGTCTCATGTGAGATGCAGGTTCCTCCAAGGCCAGGAAGTGCTTCTATCCTAAGAAAAAAGACCAGTAATCTTAAATGATCTGATTTTCTCAAAGATGGGGCAAGATCACCAATAGAAATATAGTGGACAGCATAATTATCTGCCAGATATTCCAGTTTCTCTTCCTAAAGTAGGGAACTCATGTGCTTTTCTGCAGCTATGAATGCAGGCACAAGTTTCTATGTTACCATTGTCCAGAAGTCTTTAAAGGCAGAGCATGGTTCAACATGCTCACCTTTCATACCGCCACGTGAGTGGGAATGGTCAGACAGACAAGAGTATTTTCAAGGTGGTTAAAACAGAATTCAGAAGGAGACTGCTGAAGTGAAAGAAAATGGTCTCACTTGGTCTTCCCGTCTAGAACTTTGTCCATCTCTACCCTTGACTGATTTCTCTCCCTTTCCACAGTTAGGAACAAAGTCTTTCCAATACTTTTATTATTATGGTGGTGACATAATATATTTTTAAAAGCAATCATTATATGAACTAAGGTATTTTAAAATATTCATACTTCTTGGTCTAGTAACTCTACTTCTGGAAATTTAAAGGAAGTTAGCTAATCTATAGACACGCAAAGCAAGAACTGACTATAGCATCAGAGGTCAGGTTGGAGGAAGTGGGAGGGAAAAGGAACTGGAAACCACAAGTAGGGTTGAGTTCAGGAGACTTGGGAAAGTTCTCTCCCTTGACCTGAGCAGCGGTAACATGCCTTGTTAGCTTAATGATAATTTACTGATGTAGGTAGTTGCTAGTTTTATAGGATGTTGACTGCTAAAAATGCAAAATGCTTCCCATTTCTTGAACTGTGAATTTGTTGAGGCTTCTGTACAGTTTATTGGATTTACGATTTTAGACTTTTAAATAGGTACTATTAGATTAATAGACTGACTTAAGAATTGTCTGCACTGCTTTTTCTTAATAAAGAAAGTATCACTGCAGAAATGTCTACATTCATCCAGGTTCCATTCTAGAGACATCTCACCTGTTTTAATTCTGCAATACTGAGGCTTGAAGCCAGGCTCTTAAACATTCTAGCAAGCACTCTACCACTGACCTACACCCTCATTCTTTTTTATTTAAAATTCTTCACACTTCTGTACAAATACAAACATCAAGTGTGTGTTACAAAAAGACTTTTTCATACGCTATCTATAATAGTTTCAATTGGAAAACAACCCAGATATCTAATAGGGGAATAATTAGATAAATTATGGTACAGCCACAGTAGACTGACTAAAATGAATGCTTAAGAAGAAATCCTAATGGCTTAGGAAAATACTTGGATTATAACTACATTAAAAATCTAGTATTACATGGGTGTTACAACTTAACATAAAGCAAATGCATCAAAGAATGTCTCTATGAAATATATCAGATGTTAGCAATGATTATCCGCCGGCTCATGAAACTATTTTTCTTCTTCTTTCCACACTTTTAAAATTTCTTAATTTGCACATACTATATATAGGACGGAAGGAACTAAATGCAAATGTTATCTTGTTAGGGTCCTGAGCAGATGTCCTCAGGATTCAGTGCAGCCCTTCCCTTTCTCTTCTAAGTGCTTACAGTACTGCTTACCATGCTGAATTTTACATGCATTTACTTGGCTGCCTCTTGTGCCAGCCTGTGTACACCTGGAAGCCTTGCATCTGACCAGGGACTATCACAGTACATGGTAGAGAGCAGGAACAAAGCAAATTATCAACTGAGTAAGTTCCATCTAGCATCTTATCCGGAGACTCACACAGAGTAAGCAGGCTCTCAAAATCTCTGTGAAACTGTGGAAAGTGCAATTGTTCAGTTCTGAGGAAAAGCTTGGATATTCTCCCACGTGTCATTTCAGAAGCATGAAATATTCAATCCTTGTATGAAATATTCAGATCCTCCCTGGAGGTGGCTTAAAAGCTATGCTTCTCTAAAGACAGTGTTACATACTGATTAGCTGTACTCACAGGGAGCTCGATCTACAATTCAGGATTCACTCCAACTATGCGAGAAGAACAGGGAATGAAAAATGAGGTGGAGAATTATAAAGACAAACATTTGGGTAAGAAGGTGAGAATTCTCTTTTGTTGCTTTGGTTTTTGAAAGAGACTGACATCTTAATTGCTTAATGTACAAGGGGAAATATCATCTTTTGTACTAAAATACCAGCTAGCTCTTTCTATGACCATGTAGGGTTAACAAACTAATCAAAACTTGGTGGCCTACAGCATACATTTGTTTCCAGGTTCACAGGTCTGCAAGTAGTTAGAAATTCACTAGATCTAGGGCCTCAACTGAGCAGTTCTGTTTCAGGTTGTGTGCAGCAAAGCTTGGCTTCAGACTGTGTTGGTCCACCTCTGCCCCGTGGGTCAGCCTTTTTGAGCCAGGGAGACCTAGGGCATGTTCTTGTCAGGGCAAATGGCAAGAGCACAAGCTAGAACACATAGATGCATTTAAAACCCCTACACATATCATGTCTGCTCACATTAACTTGGCCAAAGCATGTCTCAGTGTGCGTATGGGTGTATATTCCATGAAAGAGGAAGCAACAGTGAGAATTTGCTGAAACCACTCCACTCTAGCAGAGCTACGCCAGGGGTCAGCAACCTATCACCTACATGTCAAATGTGGCTGCTGCTGCCTGTGAACAGCAAGTTGTATTAAGACACTGCTACAACAATTTATTTGTGCCCACAGGGATGCCATGGCCACCTAGAGAGTGTTGCTTTTACAGGAAGACAGCAGGACGGGAGGAAAAGAAACAGAGGACATATGGTCCACAAAGCCTAAAATACGTACTTTACCTTTTTCATTTTTCTAGAAAGGACTTCTGCTTTTATCAGCTTCTTCTTAAAGGGGAATGCTAATGTCAAGAACAACAAAAAAACAGGCTAATTAGCTGATGAATATTATTTTTCTCAATGAATACTGATTTTGTGGTTAGCAAAAATTTGTATTTTTTCACAGGCTGCTTTGCTGACATGCCAACCTTAGGCATAGGTGGTCATGTCTAATATCAGCCTCTCTGGGGTCACGCCAGCAGCACTTTTTATTATGTGTGGTACCAGGGATGGAACCCAAGAGCGCTCTACCACTGAGATATATCACAGCACCCCTACTCCCCACTTTTTTCTTTCTTTGAGACACGTCTCACTAAGCTAAAACCCTCCTATCTCAGCCTCCTGAGCAGCTGGGATTACAGGCATAGGCCGACATGTCCAGCCACACCAGTCTTTGCTGTGTTCTCTTTCCTTAGTCTCATACTACTGCCACTGGAGAAAAATGATCCTGTCTGTACTGATAGATTACCCAGTGAGATCCTTACCATGTGAGAAGAAAATAAACTGAGACCTTTTCTTCTGCTAGAGAAGGGCCTATACCATTGCTATCCCTTTACTGCCTCTGTCCCTAGGCTAGGTACAGAGCCAAACCCCTACTCCATGTGCTTACACACAAAAGTGATAACGCTACACATTAACACAATATTAGTATATATAGCATTGTATACCATATATTAACATAACAAAATGAACAGCTTCCTTACACTGAGATTTATGGTGTCAGACACAAAGCTGAGGATGTAAGATGCAGTTTATCATTAAATCTCTGAACAGCTCCCACAAGTAGGACCATGAGTAGGGAAAAGACAAGAATTAGGAACTGACAGCCAGCATCAAGAAACAAGGAATCAGAGGCAAACAGCAGTGTGTGGTCCATCTTCAGGCGCTACATGTATGGAAATACAGGGCAAAAATGTTTTTAATCAGTGGAAGCCAGAAATCTGAACTATCAGATATTTGGGTATTTTCCAAATATGAAGTATTAGTTCAACTAAAAAGAAAAAACAATCAGCACTGAGCCAACACCAGTATATATTTTAAAGAAACAGATTATGAGGTCACTTATCAAATGGTTTCCTGGTATTTTAACCACATCTCAAACCCCACCATCTTGCCTAACCGAACACATAGTCTCCTCCTGCTTATTTCTCCAGAACTACTTTAGCGTGCATAAAATCACAAGCAGTTCCCTGAGGTACCCATCACGTTCTCAAAGACCTCTCCTTGTACTTTCTACCTGGAGACAGGAGCAGAGGGAGAGAGGAAAGGGAGAAGACAAAGGAAAGGAGGAAAAAAAGGAGGGAAAAAAGGGGACAACATCAAAATCAAAAGAGTAGGAAAGAAGTTTTTTAAATATGCAAAATTTCAAGCCTGAAACATTACTGGCAGAAATTAATGAAGATGAGAATAGAAAGATACACTATGATCATATATTGGAGGATTCATCCCATTAAGATATAAGTTCTTACTGATCTACAGATCAATCCCAATCATAATTTCACTGTTTCTTTTTACAGATATTGAAAAGCTAATTCTAAATATATGTAGAAATGCGAAGAAATGACAATATCCAAAACA